TGATGATGACAACAAACAAAAAAAATCAGACAATAAGCAATGCTAGGTTCCTCAACGAGTATTGCCTAAGGTGATTAATCGCGTAGGACAATTTCGTGAGGTTTTATACTCTGCGTCACAGCGGCAATGGATTGGGCACATTTTGAGGATGCTTCAGAAAATTGAAACAGATGCTGCATGCTCGACCAAAGAATTTCAAGAAAGGTCACTCACGAAAGACCTGTGCAAGGTGCCTGGACGAACGCTGTCCCAGACTAAGGCTCTGTTTTGTCCTCGTTCGGACAATAGCACAGGGTTAGAAACGTTGGAATACTGTGATTCGCGGATGCCTCAGCGATCCAGAAGGATAAGCTTTCATGGAAACTGATTGGCTGACTGACTTCGTTGTTTGATGACATTTTCATCTGTTATATTTTCGGCAGCGATGCTCCAGCAAAGGAGGCATAGAAAAACGGTTTGAAAACAGGGGCATTCATTCGAGGTCGGTTGAAGCTCAGTCTTAGCATGAGCAAATACACGCTCATGTGTTACTGTTCAGAATTGATGCATCCGGAAGCGACCATAATCAGCCGAATTTGTGTGACAACTGAATTGCGCGTTTCGCCAGTAGTCAGTGAATTGCCTCAAGGAATCGTCGGGAGCCAGGTTGCTGTTTAAGTGTCTCGAGGCAAACCGGTGCCTTGTAAAACTGTGCATAACCTTGTTTACTCTGTGACTCGAAAACTCTCGTCCTCAATAATTCTGTTTGTGTACTTTGAAAAACAACCGGATAATGAAAAGAGAAAAAATGGGCAACCGACCTGATTCGTTCCTTTCTCGTGCTGAGTTAGAATCGGCCGCTTTGTAAAGCAAGTGAGAAAGCGTGCATTTAAGTCACTGCGCTGAAATCTTAACTCGCTGTTCGACAGACAGAGCGAAAACGGAAAAAGGTAAGAATGCAGCGAAACTATAATCTGTTTAGAAATTTCGCGAAGACGTAAGAATCATTCTCTGGTGCTAAATTTGGACTTTTGGTTTTTGACTGTTCGTCTTCCTAAATCGTAAGCATTTAAAGATTTGTGATATCAACATCAACTTATCCTATTATCCTTATACGGTTGTCTTCTGTCGAAGCTCAGTCTCTAACATAGGACTGAGAACGTCGAAAGTGTACTTTCTAACGCATCAGCCTCCGCCATTTGAAAAGCGGTCATGAAAGATGAAGGTAATGAAATAGAAGCTTGAAGATTCAAGGTAAATAAATATTTGCCCTCATATGTAACTAGATGGTGAGTCGAGTGACGACAGTATCCAGTAGTTACTCCCCTTC